ACTCTTGTTGCTACATGATCACTTTTTAAAGGAGAAGTAGTTTTGGCTTAATGTACGAGTACCAGCAGTCTGGCCTGGCCTGTCCTGTCCTGTCCTCTGTCCTGTTCTCTTCTGGCATGTCCTGTCCTATCCTGTCCTATCCTGTCCTCTGTCCTGTCCTGTCCTGGCCTGTCCTGAAATCCTGAAAACAGTGATGATTATACAGATGTTAACCGCTCGCCGTCAGCTCGTATCGAGACAGAACTGATCAGAAATGACGGATCCACGTGGGACAGATATAACACGCTTGATATTTAATATTATGAAGCTCGATCCCATCGGGCGGAGGTCGACTTCAGACTATTTGTTTTACACCTGAACCAGGCATGTCTGTTTGCTTTTACTCACCACAAACTTAACTAAGGTTGATTGATGCATACCGGACAGTATACTGTATACATATGTAATAGTGAACATGGTGTAATTGTTAGTTGTGCTATCGTCAGACTAGTTTGTTCTTCATCTCCTTGTCAAATAGTATCAACCAATATGTACGCCCCAATTATGTACCAGACAAATCGTCTCGATAAAATTAGGGAATGATAAGGAAATATGATGTGTCATGCCCGCGGAGGCTTGGAGTGTCTCCGAGGACCCTTGCCATCACTTAAGCAGACTGGCAATACATCATGGGTGTCATGATACGCGCAATCTCCTCTAACAGAGTGGTCATCGCTTTCACGGAGGTTACACGGATCTATTCATTCCTAGGCCAATTGAGACTTGATAGACACCTTGTAATGATCGACAATTCATTATTCTCACTACGGAAAATGTCCGCTGGCGGAAAACAACGGAAACTAACGAGTATCGAACAAATGTTTGTTGTAGTGAGCGACAAATATCGCATCAAACTATTGACGAAGCCTGCATATTCATGACAGTAAGTTAACCTAGGATGTCTCCAATGTGTCTCTATTCCAGTAGATGGATATCTTCCAATTGGTGAAATGCTACTGTCCAACCAAAACCTCAATAGTCACGAAAGCGGACGTGAACACAAGACGGACATCAAATAAATTGTATACTGCGATGGTATGACAATGGAAACATTATAATTAGGTTTCTATTCGCGATTACAACGTTCACCCATAATATTCCAGTGTTGTCACCTATTGTTTCAAGGAACATTGTCTTATCTTATTTAGTCCCGTTGATAGTACACTAAAAACACAATTAGCATTACAAAGAAAAGTTTTACTGTTAATCCTAAAAGTTCTACTTCTAGAGTTAAGGATCTGAAACACATCGCTTGAAATTATTGTAGGTCAGTATGGAAATGTAGCTGTGATAAATAATCAAAAATAATTTGTTTTTGTTTTTACAATATCAATAGTTAATTTTGTATGTCTATATCAATTACCTTACAGTTGAACGTTGAAAGCCACTAACGGTGTTTGACCCTCCTATTCTATGAAATTGCTGAAGTTAATACATTGATACTGTTGTGTTATTGGTTTATAGTTATACATTTCGGATAGAGATGATAGCTTTAAGCATCTATGTGATATGGAATGAAAGAGAGTCTCGTTCTGTGATTCGGACAAGATAGCCCCCATCAGCTTGTGAGCAACACGTCTGCGAATAAATCTCAATAGATCGTTTTTCGAGTTGTCGGGTCATTCTAAAAGCTAACATGGTGTCAGAAGTAAGGACGACAACGTCAACACCCGGTAAGCTGTTCAGATGAGACATTTTTTCTCCACTTGTGGACTGTTATTGCAATTGAGCCTAGCAGACCATGTGCTCCCTTTAGGTCCACAGATTGTTGATAGTCAGACGTGGCAGCGTATCGAGTCCCTCCTTCTGAGAACTTTAATTTTACTAAACCCGATGAATGGCCGCAATGGTTTCAGCGGTTTGAACCCGCTTCACAATAGCATAGGAGCTAAATGAGAAGTAGGAACCGGTTCAGGTGAACACTTTGATATGCGCTATGGGAAACGACGCTAAGTCATTTGAACTGTCAGCGGCGAATGCAAAGAAATACAAGAACGTATCGGAGAAATTGGGGCTCATTTTGTGAAACGCAAAAATACAATTTTTGGAAAGGCGAGATTTTATCACTGGAAACAAAACGTGGGAGAAACAGCAGGTAGTTTTATAACTTCACTCCATACTCTCGTACAATACTGCCAGTATGGTACCCTAAAGGGTGAGATGATTCGAGATTGTTGTTGGAATTAGGGACAGCCACTTGTCTGAGAAATTTCAGTTGGACTCTGAATTGACCCTAGAAAAAGCAATGTTGCAGGTGAGACAAAAAGAAACTGTTTAGAAAGAACAGACAGTTGTCAAAAGGGTTGAGAACGGTGGAAATAATGCTGCAAGCAGTGTGGACCCGGTTACTAAAAAGTACCAAAGAAGTCGACCGGCGGTAATAGTAATGAGCGGAGAAACCGTAATGAGACAACTCGTCCCCAGTCAAATGGAAGCAACAATCGGTCAAGTTCATGAACGAGATGTGGATTTAAACATAATCATGCAAAGGAAAAATGCCCAACGCGAGAAGCAACCTGTCGTCAGTAAAACAAAAAAGATCACTGCGCTAAAAGGTGAAAATCTCAAATAGGCGAGTTGACCTAGGACTATGAATTCCTAGGGACGCTGAAGACACACCTCGGATGGTCAATCTACATGTAAACAAATCACCAGTCAAATTTAAGCTAGATACTTGAGCTGATGTTGAAGCGATACCTGTCAGCGTATACAGGCAAATTGGAAGCCCGATGTTGATGAAGTTAAGGTGCTCTAGGGACCGGGACAGAACAAGTTAACAACCCTGGTAAAGGTCACATATATTGTCAGCACAGACACTGGAGGCAGCTATAGAGATATTTGTACTTAGAACACTAAAAAGGCCTCTGATTGGCAGACCTTTCATAAACAAACTGAGTTATCAATGCCATTCGAACCACTTGAACAATATACTGCAGTATTCGAAGAAGATGGGAAGATTAAAGGAGAATATGAAATGAAACTCGGAGAGAACGCTTAACCCCATGCGCTTACTACTCTGCGTCGTGTAGCACTACCTCTTCTAGATGAAGTCAAACAGGAATTGTCGAGAATGACGAAATTGGGCACCATTTCATCAGTGGACGAGCCAACTGATTGGTGCTCTGGAAAATGGAACAGTGCGACTTTGAGTTGATCGCACTCAGCTTAACAAGTCAGTGCGACGCAAGAATATCCAACTCCCAAGCATTAAAGATATTCTTCATCGACTTACAGGAGCACAAGTTTTTTCTAAACTCGATTCTAACTCCGGTATTTAGCTAGTTCCTCTAAAAGAGACATTTATGACGCTCTTTGGAAGGTTTTGCTTCAATCGCTTGCCATTTGGAATATCATCAGCACCGGAACATTTTCAGAAGCGAATGACTGAGCTTCTAGACGGGATAGACTGTGTTGGTTGCCAAATGGACGACGCGTTAGTATTCGGCGTAAATCAGGAGGAACTCAATGACCGCTTGGGAAAAGTGCTTAGCAGAGAAGCTTCAGCAGGGTTCAGCAGGCTTCATACTTAACCGCGAAAAATGCGAGTTCAGCAAATCAAGTATCACATTCGTTTGGCATGTGATCGATGAAACTTGTATCAGACCTGACCCAACAAATGTCAAGACCATTGAGGACTTTGAGGCACCAGAGAACATCAACGCAGTACGCCGATTTCGTGGAATATTCAACCAACTTAGTAGATTTACTTTAAATCTGGCTGAGCTTTCAAAGCCAATACGTGACTAATTGCACAAAGAAAATTCCTGGATATGGGAGGAACATCAAGTCAATGCTTTTGAGGCTATAAAGAAAGAACTCAGTTCAACTCCAGTGTTGGCATTGTATAACCCAAAGGCAAAAACTAAAGTTTCAGCTGATGCATCATCATATGGATAAGAAACAATTCTCTTACAGAAACAAGATGACTCGGAAAAGGAATCCTGGAAGCCAGTGGCATTCGCGTCGATCATCAATGAGTACCATATACCAGCGTTTTGCTGGTATAGGTATAAGTATAAAAAAGAATCACTCGCAGTTACAAAGGCCACAGATAAATTCTTCTACATTAGGATGCACTTTCTAATTGAAACGGACCACACGCCCCTGGTATCATTACAGGATGACTCGGAAAAGGAATCCTGGAAGCCAGTGGCATTCAAGTCGAGGTCAATGAGTGCCATAGACCAGCGTTTTGCCAAAGTATAAAATAGAATCACTCGCAGTTACATAGGCCACAGAGAAGTTCTTCTACATTAAGATGCACTTCCTAATTGAAACAGACCACAAGCCCCTGGTATCTTACTGGGTGTGAAGGCTATCTGTGATCTACCTCCAAGGATGCAAAGATTCAAAATGAAGTTAATGCGCTTTGATCTTGACAATGCGTATGTACCCGGGAAACTGATCTACTCATTGAATACGCTGTCGCGAACTCCATTACCTCTGGTTCAAACTGCGGACACAACACTTAAAGAGGAGGTAGAGGCGTATGTAAACAGTAACCTGGGAAGCTTGCCAGCGTCAGAATCACGTCTTGAGAATATCTTAATCAAATTACGCGAAGATACTGTGTGTAGTGTCATTGTCAAGTACTGCGAGGGAGGATGGCCAGCATATGACAAACCGTCTACCACGGTTTCTACAAGACCTTACTGGCAGATCAGAGAGGATATATCGTATGTCATGGACTATAGTTTCGTGGCAGTCGTTTGGTAATACCGACAGCTTTACGCGTCAAAATACTGCAAAAGCTGCACGATGGACACCAAGGCATCGTCAAATGTCGCTAACGTGCCAAAACGTCAGTGTGGTGGCCTGGTCAAAAATAGAGGAACTGGTGAGAAATTGTTTATCTTGCGTAAAACATCAGAATGACCGAGCAGAACCACTTAGGCCAGGTAGACATCCGGATAGACCATTGCAAAAGGTTGTATCGGATCTTTGAAAAACACAAGCTATAAATGGTCGTGGACTACATTTCACGTTATATCGAAATAACCAGACTTGTGTCAACTACGTCACAAGCTATCATCAAACATTTGAAGTCAATGTTTGCGCGACACGGGATCCCAGAAGTGTTGGTGTCTGACAATGGACTACAATATGCCAGCGCAGTAATTCAGAAGTTTTCATATGAGAACGGCTTTCTACATAGTACGAGTAGCCCCCACTACCCCCAAGGCAACGGGGAAACAGAAAGAGGTGTGCAGACTGTTGAAAGACGTCTGCAGAATTCGTCCGACCCATATTTAGCATTATTAGCGTATTTGCATGCTTCTCTACTGCGAAACGGATGCAGTCCTGCAGAACAGTCGATAGAGCGGAAAATTAGGACGACAAACCTTACTCCACGGGGGCCAGACCTTGAGAAGGTCAAACTAAAGGAGGAAATGAACAAAGCTATACAAAAAGATATTTTGACATCTCCCACCGCGTGTTGAGGCTACCCAAACTCAAACCTGGTGAGACAATGTGGGTTAAAGGGCAAGGAGGTGGGTTTCCTAGAACAGTTGCGTCTACGATTGACAAGAATGACATATCCTACTGGGTAGCTACACCCTTTGGTAACATCCGTTGAAACCGACCACAACTTGTGAGCGCGCCCAAGCTGGACATTGATCGCTCAGCGGAACAGAATTTGGACACCAATTGAGACATTGTCACATATTCTGGAAAACAATGACAAGCAAATGCCAACCAGAACTAGTACTAGCTCAGTGTCGCCATCATCCCCCAGTGTTAGTACGCGTAGAACTAGCTCCGGTAGACTGTGCAAAACTCCAGATAAGTTGTACTTGTAATATAACTGTGTTAATGACCTATATTGTCTAGTAATGTAGTCTAGTCAGTGACTGTTTATTTTTTTATTTGTACACGGATGACAAGTTTATTTTGAATTGTTATCATTAAGTTTATATGATAGTGTATTATCATTAGCTAATTCGTGGTTAATATATTGTTCAGTAATAGTTCAATTCCGTAGGGGAGATGTAATGTTATTGGTCTATAGTTATACATTTCGAATAAAGATTTTAGTTTTAAGCATATATTTGATATGGACTATAAGAGAGCATTGTTCTGGGATTCGTACAAGATTGCTCCCACCAGCCTGTAAACAATGGCTGTACACGTCTGCAAATAAACCTCAATGGATCGTTTTCCGAGTTTTCATATCATTCTAAAAGATGCTATACAAATGATGTATATATAGTATGAAGAAATAGGAAAATGCCGCAGTAAATTTTGTCTTGCTTTCTGCTTATACATTTTGGTTCAGTAAAAAATTACTTTGTTTTAATTAAACAAAGTATAATTGTGAATAGGTGCTTCCTTACTTTGCATTTCTAGTGATTATTTTACACAACAAAGTGGTCAACTGTGCCGGTGGACTACAAGTCCCTCAGGTCAGCCATAACCTTGTAACTGTGCCGGTGGACTACAAGTCCCTCGGTTCAGCTATAACCATGTTACTGTGCCGGTAGACTACAAGTCCCTCAGGTCAGCTATAACCTTGTAACTGTGCCGGTGGACTACAAGTCCCTCAGGTCAGCCATAACATTGTAACTGTGCCGGTGGACTACACGTCCCTCAGGTCAGCTATAACCTTGTAACTGTGCCGGTGGACTACAAGTCCCTAAGGTCAGCTATAACCTTGTTACTAGAATTTTCGCTGGTGTGATAAATATGAAATACTTATTCTAAAATAAATCACCTGCAGTATTTGTGTAAACTTGAAATATAATGAAGGGTTATAAAGGTTCTTTTCCCAATTGATGTTTTCCTTTATATGTTTAGATACCATTTGATATGGACTTTCTTTGGGTTGACTTTTGTACCCTGCAATAGTCCTAACTATCTGTTTTAACTAGGCTTTTGTATAAAATAGATTTGGGTACAGTAACTAGTTATATAGCTTTCTGAATCAACATGGTTTTTTTCTCTCAAAAACAGTTGCTTCCTTGCTTCTTATTTATAGTAATGTCGTTGCTTGTACCTGTCCGGTCAGACACTAGAAATGGCGATCGCGTCATATTCTGATATTGATCGGTTGTTGGTTGGTTTGTTGGTTGTTACGAGTTAAACGTCCTATAAACAGATGACGTCATTAAAAGATGTGCCTCTATGTTTGTTATGTATGCCTGCATGTATGAATGTGTCGGAGAGATGGTATGGTGAGTGTCGTTGCCTCCATGTGATAGCGCGTATCTGATGCCGACTTTATAGTGCTATCTCACTGAAACTATGCTGAAGGCACACTGCACAGCATTCTGCAACCCATGGCCTTCCTTGCCTGGACGAACGTTCAACATTAAAGCCAAAAGTGAGGTATTGCCTAGCAAGCCGCTAGGAAATATAGGATAGTTATAAATAGAGGGAAACATAAAGATCCCAAATAATGCAATAGGTGTAACAGATCTATTTTGGTCGCTTTTGTGGTCCAAAATAGAGGTCAAATCCCCAATTTTACATGGAACTTTCACATTAGCCGTCTCTTACGATACTTACAGTTGGAAACATCAGGTGAATTCTTTCTCGTTCCCCGACCTGCAGGAGTGATATCGATCGGATCTAAACTGTCAACGTGTACAGTGTATATACTCGGGCTGCCTACAGTAATGGTATCTTAAGTCCGATACGTTAATTGTTTTAAACACGTGAGAGCACACCATGATTAAGGAGATCGTAAGAGTGAGAACAGTTCTCACTTTACATTTTTTTTTTTTCATGTAGATTTCTCAGAATATGTAAATGTTTTATGCTATGTAACACATATGGAATAGATATAAAGACAATAAATTGTAGTGATATTTTTGTTTTAATAATTGAAATGTAATCGTTAAGTACAGTTACACGTTAGTTACATAGATGTATGTGGTTTAAGGTTGTGGTTTTAGGGTTTGGTTTTAGGGTGTGGTTTAAACTTCACACTATGAACCTGTACTTAAGTATTTAAAGTGTGTCCTAAAATTATCAAATTATTGTGTATAAACAATAATATTCATTCATATTCCTTTTCATTAGTATACATATTCCTGTTTAGTACCACATTAATATATTATGTTCCGATAGCTTGAAGTTCCGTCTTATTGTTGGCGGACCTCGAGGTGTAACACCTAATACAAGTTATTTCTTTGTGTACGTAAGTAAGAAATTTCCCAAAAGATGACTTTGATTTCATTAAAAAAATAATTAAAATGACAGTACGTGTTCCAAATAAGTGTTATTTGACATTGTGGGTTTGTCTCCTGATATTCACACGATTTTTAGAGTAAGTATTGATTGCGAAAGTGCCCCGAAATTTTTATTGAATATTAAGTAAATAATTTTTCAGTTTTTAAGTATGGTGTTAACAAGAGATATATGTTATTTTGACGGAAAGTTTTACAAAAACAAACAAAAGAAAAGAAAAAAAGCGAACTTCTGTTAAGATATCTAAATGATAAGTGATTTTAAAGAATAATTTTTAATCGCGCACAATGAATTTTCTTCTTTTATTTTTGCAATGAACATGTAAGAGTTTTTGAATGACTGTTTTTTACCATCAGTTAAAAACAAAACAGATTTCTATCGGGAACTCTCTTTATTACACTCTCTTTGATGACTTTTCACTTGTGTGCGTCAAAACTAACTCCACACGTTTTGTTGTGAAATAAGTGAAATTATCACAGTATGGGTAAGTGCAAGCTCAATTCAGGGATTTAAACTTATTTTAATTTCTAATTGGAACTGAATCAGTTTCATGTGCCCTCACTAACTTATTGCTTTTATCTTGATTAAAGATTTTGAAACATTGAGGGACATACTCGGACTATCGCCAATCACACTAAAACATTGAAGTATAAGGACAGAAACGGACTATCGCCAATCATAACAAGTGTGTACACACACGAGAACACTAAAACATGGAAGTGTAAGGACAGAAACGGAAAGGATCAAGATAAAGATACAACACATCGGAGAGACATAACATAAACAGTTTTTACAAAACATTTGAAATATACTTAGCATTTCGATGGGGTAGAATATCAACATTGGTCTGTTGGGTAAAGGGGCCCCACCAACCATCAGGTCTCCAGTGACTTCCGCATTATGTATCTTATAAATGCTATAATGGAGTGGGATAACAGAAGGCCAGTACTCCTCCAATTCCTCGTGAACATCCATACGGCGATAACGATAACGTGGACGAACGTTTTGTTTAGAGCACTTACATTTGTATTTCTTACAACTAGATGTGGGGTATCATGTTGACAGTGTGATGCATATATTAATGTAGTCAATATTTCCACGACTTCATAATGGTGTTGTTTACACGCATGATCTAAGGTGCATACAGACTTTTTTCAAAACTGAAATCGTTATATCCTATCATTAAGTAGGCTAACTGATACTTGTCCGGATAATCGCCGACCTCCTGTTTGATCCGTCCATAATATTACACGCGTTGTTTATGTCCCCGAATAAAAGAAATGCCACAAAAGAGTTTCTTGGTCATGGCTTTCTCATATAACCTACGCGGTATGACGCACCTTTTCACACGCCACAGGTTTCACAAACTCACTAGACCTTAAAGTTATTATTTTCGTCATATGCATTACAATTCTCTGTGTCAAGAGACGCTGAAACTACGCGAAGGACTATACTCGTTCTAAAGCAGGTACTGACAAGGACATCATGTCGCCATTGACAGATGTTTGGTGACTCTGTCTCAAACCAAAAAAATATATCGTGGCTAAATATTTATAATGGAGAATTAATATTCAGCCATTCTTTCATTCAGATGTATTTCAATAAAACACACATCATTTTATAATTTCTGATAGTTTTAACGGAACAGATCATGTAACAGAGATACTAGCTTAAATAAGCTATATCAGTGGAAATTTGAAGTTTAGGCACATCAATCGACTTAAAGTATACAGTACCTTGATGTGTTGTAATAGTTTAAAGAATCTGACATAACGATCCCGATTCCATCAACTACTGGGGTATACTCTTAACGAGAAGTCTTGCCTTTAAACAATACATACTCTTTTAATATTATCCTTCTATATAGTTATGTGCACCTCTTGCGTGCATTGGACACACATATGTCACAGCACGGTTCTAAATCAAAATGATTATAAACATTTGTTCCGTTCTAATAAATGTTATAATTTGCGTTGTACATTGATGGTGGTGTTATGGTGAATTGATGTGAGATGAGAGACAGGATTACTGACGGGTTTGTTTATAACTCTTGTACTACATAAATAGCCGAGCTCATTACTAGAGATGATATCGGCGATGTAAACCTGTCAGATGTGTTGTTAAGTTGTATGTCGTGGTGCGGTCCTGTTTATTCTGCTCAATATAGATCTGCGAACAGATTTATACGTTTATTAGAAAGAAGCACGCACCTATACAGAACGAGCAGGTCGTCTACACAATTGCCCCTTTACAGATAGGGGCGATGTTCTGTGATGTGACAGAAACCATTTCTAATGAAAATCGACAGTTGTCTTCCATCCTTCCTTTAGCCGCCAACTTGATCAAATATGAAATTTGTTTATCATGTATCTGGCCTACATCCTAGTATGGCTGAGTTAGTTATTAAACAACCTACCAGTACCCATCCTCGACATTTACATAGAGGAAATTGCTTGGTTACAGACAGAACTAGATCTTACAAGTAGTGCATGCATAATTTACGCTGTGCATTCAACATCAATGAGATAGCACTAAGAGTTCGTGACGAGCCGAGTATTGCTGCGTACGCGTTGTTTACATGTGAAACTGCTTTATTAATTGGCCATAATCGTGTCAACTCAGTGGCAAATGACGTTAACGTATACACCATCAGTAGTATCGATGACCAGCAAGTGGACGAACCGACCCCAAGGTCACCGGAAGGGAGAAATTAACAGGAAGTGTGTCTACTTCCGGAGTATGTCTTTCTGAACCTTCCACGATGTGGTTCAACACGTGCGCTCTCCTACTAGAACCATACTACTCAATTTATTCTTTAAATACGTAAGCGCATTTGTACTAACATGTAGGTGCCACATCTAATGTATTAGTTCACTATAGAAGTGATGACGAAAGTTGCATACTTAGGCTGCTTCAAATCTATTCACACAAAGTCTTTCTTTTAAAGCATGTTCATACCTTTTTACATCCAATATGAAGGCATTCACACTTTTCAAGAAAATTACAAGGTTTCAAAAATGATATCTTCTATTCAATATTTGTTAAATATTTTGTGAATGACATTGAAATGGAATCTTGTAATTTGTTTTTGGTTTAGATAAAGACACTATTATTCAAACGTGGAAAACCACCATGCTTAGAAGTAGGATCCTTGTTCATCAGAATCTTAAACGAAGCAGACACGCCGTGACAGAAATGACCATGTTTTAACAAGCATGTTGTCTACTTTATGGCACGCACCTGTCACAAACTCAGCTTAGTTCCTGAATCGCCAATTATCAATCCCGCCGACGGCGGCCCCGGAAGTGGCGAGAAAAGTACATCCGGCCTCGTCTGCGGAGACAGATCAGGTTTGGCGATCGGAACCAGGAGCGTCATATTTGCGCCATGTGATTGATACGTAATAAGGCAGTAAAGACACCTATCACACACAAGCGACTAGTACGTCTGGTAACGTCAGACAAGATGCGTTCATTTGATCGACAAATAAACCTGTCCAAAATTTTGTTGTTGCTATGGCCCTATATTGACCAACACCCAGATAAATACAAACTGACCATGGAGATATTTCTGTCATGTTTCGGACAAGTTATAATGTCGTGTCGATCTCTAAGATTTCAATGGGTCACTTGCTGTGTCCGAACAGATTGGTCGGTATTCCATAATTGCGACCGTGTATACGGCGAACAACGGTCAGTCGACAGCTTGCCAATTTTAACGCCCCAGTAAGTAGACAAAGTAACTGACCGCAACATACAAATAATTGTTATAGTTTTCTTGGATATCTGACACAAATAAGAAGCTAGACGGCGCAAAATAGCCCTACCGGCAGCTCATTGGCTGATTTATAGGTCACGTGGTGTGGTTAGATTCCATGATTGTGACCCGGCTGTGTATCGGAAACATCCCGGACTAATAAAACAAACAACATTAGTACATACCTGATATAAAAATTACGACCTATATTCGATATATATGTGTGGTAATATGGACCTGAAAGTGCTCTCATTCTCGGATCTATCGCACCACGTACTTACCACACGAAAGTCCAAAATAGACCACAAGCGGAGATATCAAAACAACAGGTATCGTGCACGCGGAGAATTAATTCAACAGGAATCGTGGAGACATCAAAACAACAGAAATTGCTGAAACATAAATACAACAGGTATCGCGGAGATATCAAAACAACAGGCATCGCGGAGATATCAAAACAACAGGAATCACGGATGAACCAAACAACAGGAATCGCAGAGATATATAAACAAACAACAACAGGAATAGCCGTGACATTAACACAACAGACAGGGATCGCTGATATATCAAAGCAACAGTAATCTTGAATATTAAAAGAAAGAAAAAAAACAGGAATCGGAGATATATAAACATCAGGAACTGCGGAGACATAAAAACGACAGGCGACAACAGGAATAACGGAAATATCAAAACAAAAGAACACTTTCAAAACAAAAACAGCAGCAGGAATCGCAGAGATATCGAAACAAAGGACAAAAAAGCAGGAATACTGCAAACATCAAAACAAAAGACAATAACTGGAATTGCGGATACATCAAAACAAAAGGACAACGCTTTACCTGTTTTCAACAACTGACGGTATGAAAAAGATATTTTTACGCAACATTCTGATTAGGTTGGGTACTTCCGGCCAATTATACAGCCTGCAAAACCAAAAACATTAATATTATCCGAGAAGCCGAATATGGGTTGATATACAGCTCCCACGGGCATTTCGATATAAACGAATCCTGCGGGTATTAATAGACTGACTCGCCCCTCACAACCCTCCTCTGGGATGTCGGAAGATAAACAACTCATTTGAGTTGTGGTCAAAAACATCCTCATGAATACTAATTCATTTTCACAATTAACATCAATAGCCAGTACACATGACATACTGATAGCTACGAGTGCTTCTTTTTCAATCAATTGTCTTAATATACTTGGCTGTAGATACAACCTCCAAACGTCCATAAACAAGACACGCATAGCAAAACCAAACATTTTTAAAGGGATGAAGTGCATAATACATAATTGGAGGACGCTTTCAGGGCCAGATCAGATAATGATCGATGTCATTACTATGCTAGATAATGAGAAACTGTATTGCTGTCTTGGCTAATATAGCTTTGGAAGCACACACTTCATGCTTCAGTTAAGGTTAATTATTCTCTTGTCCAGACACTGTTTCAAAAAAACCCAAAAAAACCCACAAACAACAGATGTTGCAAAAGAATTGGACACAAGTTTTGCCAACTTATTAAAGTCCTCTTCGACAAAAGTTAATCGATTACAATACATATCACGCAATGTTAGAGCTACTTAAATATACATATGACAAGAAAGAAGTGTAGTGAAGAGAGGGGACAAAGAAGAAATCAAGATATTTCTCGGAAATATTGGACACAGCTAACTTAAGTTTTATTGCATGATATAATTAAATATATATCATATGTATAATTATATAATATAACTACTATTGCCTGTGGAACTAGCTATGTTTTTATTATTTTTACTTTTTGTAAACCTGAAGTCAATCATATATCCAGTCCGTCTCCCGAAAATTAAATTCATCAATCATAATAAAGTATTTTAAGAAATAAAAACTTTTAATAAGAGATTTTTTTCAACTTATATTTTATCGGATGATGGTAATTTCTCTAGATATATGTTAAAGATAATACTTAGATTTAATAAATACACAGTGTAGTGTTACATCTCTATAGAGCCATTATTTCGTTTTTATTGAAATTGTGAGTATATTTAATCCATTGTCACTGTTGGAAACAAGAAATCTGATGTCTATATCCCAGGTCGAGAGTTCAGCAAAATAACCGTAGCCTCGAGGAACAGTTTTCAAAAGGGTTCGCAAAAATATCTGCAACTTCGGGAAGCTTTTAGTGAGGATTCACCATAATATCTGCAGCCACAGACCCTGTGTACATCTAAACTATTGAAAAATACAGGAAATCACCAAAACAATTAATATATCATAAAGAAGAATTAAACAAACAACTGGTAATAACATTTACACTAGGTGTCTATATGAATTAAATAATGGCCAAACTTACTCTATGCCATCTAAGATAACCCACCAGATAACGCCAGTACCAACCAGTGCGCCTACACTAAACACACTCTCTAGAGGCTGACCCTTTAACTTAACAAACTAGATTAACTTTCATGTAAATATGCTGAGGCTGCAAAGTTATACATGGGAATAGCAACTCTATCATTTTCTCTTTTATTTTATATCAAAATTTGATACACTGGTAATTCCCTTTCAAAACACAGGGTATCTACAGAATAAATCATACATCATCAGTTATATTTAAATGAAGGAACGTTTCTTTAAACAATAAATAGTTGCGTGTTTATAAGATAGTGCTAGCCTACACATTTTTTGGTTAAGAACTGAAGTTGTGTAACCTAGACAACAAGTTTGGCCTAAAGAACCGCGTTTAAAATTATCACATGCTCTGGTATATGTTTTAAACAACTGGACTTGGAAATCTAAACAACAAAATGAGCATAAATTTAACGTGCAAGTGTTGATTGAGCGAAACAGAAATGTAGACATGAACTTTCCCTTACTTCTGCTGCGTAAACATTTACATTAAGAAAGAGAAATTCGTTTAACGTCCGAACACAAGTTTTTCGTGCCTTATCATTGATAGCTACTTATACATAGTGGAGTGAAGAGTAGCGATCGGCCTGCATACCATTTGCTTGCCCTTTTGTGATAGGCTAGCAAGCCTGTCATCGGACGGTGAGAACCACAATGCCCAATGCAAGCTCTCCTTGTCAGAGCTACACCGTCTGTAGATAACGCCGGTAAACGGTATAGCGTGTAACCGGCTCACATGTCCTCACCTCTACTGCTACCACACATAGGTATGAGGACACGAGCCGACACACCTTCTGTATGACCTTCGTTGGAGTACCTATAGACTTGATTACTGACGGGTCCCACACAATGTTAACGTTGATCTCAGACGGGCACATGTTTCCTACTTAGCGTTCGATACCCATTCATGACTTACAAACCCTTGGAAGCTAGGTACTAACATCCTGAGTTCTCAAAACAAAGCTCCTCTTGGATACTCCACAACTAACTCTGACCAACCAATATCCGGGTTTCAATGAAGGACCCGGCTGTGCATATGATGGCTTCCGGTTTGTGGTTAATATAACTAAGGATATATTCTGGTGATTTTGTTTTCAAAGTTTTTTTGGAATACTTTTAGCCATGTCTTCAGCGTTCACAGTCTGTGTTTTTGGAGTGGTCTCATGTTTGCTTGGCTTGGCAGGTGCAACAACCAACGGTTCGGAGTGTCCGATAAATCTGGACCCTCCAACGGGGACCACAGGGTAAGTAAAAATGGGCAAAACGTTAGCATAATCAAGCGATCTTGTTAAATGATTCGATGGCGAGAGTAATGTGAAGCGAAAACCACTTTCATATCGTAGATATCAGTTACGGTATACTGTGTGTTCACTATGGCCGTCTGGTCCTATTTCGTCTAAAGGTGTATATGATGCCAGGTCAATTGCCCAGTATGACGGCAGTAACAAAACATATATAACATAACTAATACCAGGTCTGACATGGTCATCAACTAGTATGACGAATGCATACTCAGACATACACAGAGCATAAAACAAAACCGTAACTCTAGCTTTGATATGTCAGGGTTTTCATGAAAGCTGATGTAATTTTGTAAAGGCTGATGTTATTTTTACATGTCAGAGTTTTCATAAAAGCTGATGTTTTTTTGATAAAGCTGATTTTTTTTATTTGTCAGAGTTTTCATGAAAGCTGATGTAATTTGGTAAAGCTGATATTTTGTTTTTATTTCGCAAGTTTTCCTTGCGCTATAACACTTATCAAAGAAGGATAACTGAACATTTCGGCCTATACTACATATTTTAAATGGTTATCTAAACATTTTGGTCCCTTTCAGTTTACGCCAGTCCGATGACTGTTTTGTTTCTGTGGTGTTTTTAGCTCTTATAGCAGAGATGTAACCCAATGAGTCTTTGTGTGAACGGTACTTTAATCGGGAACATCATACTGAGATTTCGACACAGTTTTGCATGCTATTTTTATCAATGATTACACGAGCTGAATCCCGGTAAACATACCTTGCTGACCTGCCGTAAATCTGTTAAACATTGCTGTTAAGTAAACTAGCACACGTGCATTGTACCTCAAATCTTCGTTCATCCATCCAAGATACTTGCAGTTAATCTATCTGTATCGGCAGAGTTATCATTTGTTTAAAGTATTGGAGCCAAAATTTATCAAAAAGTCCATTATCACTGCCATGTAACGTATAAAGCAAATAGAAAAAGATCGATACCCGCTGGGATCGGAATAAACGTATTTAAGATTTGTTTATTGTTAATTAAAAGTGAGATTTATATCAATATGGCGGCTATAGTTGACGGCAGGGGTTCTGTTGTTTTGAGAATCCTGACTATTACCAACTGTGCACGTTAGACTACTAACAGGTAACTACAAATTTCCTTCATTTTACAATGAATGCCAAGTATGAGACTGCAATGCAATGTCAGTAGCGGTTTGAGTTAAAACATCGTCATGTCCATTCTTCAACGCAAGTAAAATAGAAACAAATCTAGCACATATCAACAACAAGCTGAACACAAGTGTTATAAAAACGGAACTATTGAGACACAAAAGCAGACCGGAAAGGTTCATACTATACCCAAACAAGAGACTGGAGGTGAGCCTGGGGCTTACTGTGCACCATGTGAAACCCGTCTTAGGGAAAATGAAAAAAATAGATCATGAAAATGAAATGTAAATGTTTAATGTAGATAAAATAAACCTCTGAGGTGGAAACACTAGCTATATCGTTAACTGTCACGTGACGTTCTCCGAAGTATACAGAAACTGCTGATACATAAAACAGGCTCTGGAATTGCAATTAACTGTAACAAGCAGGAGAGGCGGAATGTTGCTGCTGGGGAAAGGAATGTAAACGATCGTGAAATTAATGCCGTGCTTGTCCCAGAGTGACCATTGTTGTTAAACTGTATATTTGAGTTCCAATGGAAGCTGAATGCGAGCGATATTAATATCGTGATGGTTACATTGAATAACCATACTTTCCTCGTTCGACCATTGAACATAAATATGAAAGTTATAAAGAGCACTCACACCAGTTTTAACTCCTATCAGATTCTTTATTTTCGCGTTAATTTCACGAAAAACAATGTCGGCCTTGAATATACTTGTACATATATTTAGAGTAAGATTCATCACAATTCAAATGTTTGCATTGTGAGATTTACGTCCGCTCTCCTTGTTACGTCGTATTGTATTGGCCTATCCAAAACAAAAGTACAACCTCAGTACATAAGTGTTATCAGGAACAACTCAACACAGAGACGGGGGTTTAGGGTTAGATATTTGAGCAGGGTTTTTTCAAATTAATTAGTAAGGTTCGCAGGCACTTGTTGTCAGAGTGGTGATAAAAGTTAAGATAAAAAACTCTTTTTCAATACACACCTGCTTAAATGAAAGTAATTAGGTCAGTGACCTTAATTGGCCAATGAAATACAACATAACAAAAACAACGGAACGTGCATCAAATTATTTGGATTTTTGAGTTAATATATATATTTATGGACACATATTTATTATCTATGAACATAGATATTTTATGCACAATATTTTACTGTTATGAATGTACATAAAATGTGTATTAAATATTTATGAATATTGCAACGTTTGCAATTCCATATACTAGACCAGGAACACTGTATTCAACATTAATCACTTCATCTTGTGGTCAGCTGATTTAGCACTAACTTGCGGTCTTTGGAAGGTCAACATCTCATCATCACGTCTGATTTTCGTACATCAGAGCTCACCACACCAAAATTCATCAAAATAATACTTGAACTGAACATATATTGCAAAAAAAGCAATCTTCTATAATCTCTCATTGGAAACCTGATGAATAGATCCGAAAGGAATAATTTCTTTCCTTTATTATAAGTGCCGATTTCTTAAATAAAGTAAATTAAAATTGAAGTCAATGACTCGTAATTACTATAAAAAAAAATGTTCTGAAAATAGTAATGGTTAAAAATGATAAAAACAATTACACATCTTTACTGTAATATGAAAAAATGATAAATAAGAACCATTTTTATCCAACTAAAATTTTTGACTGCGGAGATTAAGCAATTAACTCGGAATGAGTAATCGTAATGTAGATTTTGGAAGTTGAAATTGAAGGAGAAATAAGAATATACGAAAATATGATAGGAAATGTAACAACTGCCATATACTATCAACGATGGATATCTTACCATCATTCTTAATTTGAAATATCTCAGTCTTAAGGGGGACATTGGCATCTGTATTACACAGTCAACTGCGCTTAGTAGAGTGAGTTTGCTTTATACATCACAACACTGTATGTTGGGTGTTACCGGAAATATACTGCCTACTGTTCCGTTCTGTAATGTGAAACGGTTATAATATCTCACTCAATCCTTACACCGCTTACATGGTTACATTTGTGTGTTGCCGTGGTTACACGGTAAAAGCAATTGTGCGATAAAATAAATATGTAAACAATGTTTACCTGTCTAATACAGATGGAAGTTCAATATCATGCATACTTACACAGTCCTCACTTGTTTGTCACCTTCTACGTACACAGTCCTCACTTGTTTGTCACCTTCTACGTACAAAGTCCTAACTTGTTTGTCACCTTCTATCAACTGTTTCTATTAGTTCAGTGGCAGACATCATTTGTTACGATTTTCGGAATGGTAGTAGCCACTTTGTTTGGCGTAGATTAAATGAATTATGTTACCGATCATATTTAAAGTACGAAAAGTGTTCACATTGTCAAAAATGTGCAAAGAAGAAATCGCTTATTTAAAATTTAGGAAGAGGGACGCATAAAACCACAACCTATAAATGCTGTTACTGGGGCGATATGGCCATGATGGCTGTTTTTGTTAACACAGCAGTATTCTCTTGTTTTTATTTGTTAACTGTCCCTTGTAGCTTTACATAATGATAATATTCAAATCGCCAGTTCATAAATGTCCAGTTCTACTTAAGTGGAATGGGAATGTTGAACAACGACATGCTGAACGAGGTTTACTTAACTTAGCTGTGCTTGTAAGACAAAAATGCATTCCTTTTAAAGCTTGTCACGAACAATTACTCAAAATATGAACAAGAAAGCACATGTTAACAAAATGTATTTGCAATAAAGCTGTTCATATAGAACAAAGAAATGCATTCCCAATATACTTTAGGTAGTAAAAAACCAATGCAGCACAATGGTTGCAACCTGAAGTAAAAATATCAATCAGGGCCGTCCGAAACGGACTCCACGATTTAAATATTTATGTAAAGGTACTCGTAAAAAAGGATGATATGAATATGTTTTGAAATTAACTAGTGAATTAAACGCAGGACTAATAGAACAGGAGATTATTGGATTTTCAACCACCATAAAGTTTTGATATGCTAACATATATTCATGCTATTATTAACTCTTGGACGGTAACCAAAAAAGCATTAAATCGACAACTGATACTTAAATTGTTAAAATCCCACATAATGCAGCTAATTCATAGATAAAACACATTATTAGTCACGAACAGGATGCTTAAGGTGCTACTGTTATGTTCGAGATTCAAAAAAGCTTCAGGGCCGGTATATCCCACAAAATTATTTCATTTTTATTTTTTAGTTGTGGTAAATATCTCCGATATAAAAAGATGAAAACGTCACACAAGTATTCAAAACTATTGGAAAATTTTGTATTAAACCTTGCAGATGGACAGATCGTTATTTTATATTGAACCAGAACAGACGAGAAAAACATTATTTGAACTTAATGCTGAATAAAAATAACAAGTGTAATTGGATTTTGTATGCGTTAAGCAGATTCTAAGAATGCAATGCGAATTCCATCTGAAATCAGCTGAATGCTTAAATGAAACAAACATTTGTTTAAGGTTCTGATATAATCATAAAATCGTGATTTTGTCTTCTTAAACAGTCGAACTTCAGCTAGGGATATAATTTAAGGACGAAAGATTCCCTGTTCTCATGCTTCTATGTTCAAAACTGAGGACACTTGAATTCCAGAGAGGATGTTTATTTTTACTGATAAAGCTTATCAAAGAATACATTGTCATATCAGTTGACCTCTATTTATAAAATAGACCTCATTGTGTCAACCTACATGAGGTTAGGTAGTTTCAGACATTGGCATTCGACATAGGAAATATTGATTTTAATCTTAAAAGAATTCGTAACCTAAACAGAATTTACAAAGTCCAACTCTGATTACACTAGGTATCTCTTT